GGCAGTAAGTAACTAGCTCAGGGCAGCTAGGCTGTGCAGTGGATGGAACTAGGCCTGGGGTCAAGAAGACTTCCTAAATTCAAATCCAGCTTCATATGCTTACTAGCTGTGTGACCCTGGGCAAGTCACTTAACCCTGTTTGTCTCAATTTCCTCATCTGTAAATGAACTAGCTAGAGAAGGAAATGGCAAATCACTCCAGTATTTTTGCCAACAAAACCCCAAATGAGGTCACAAAGAGTTGGGCACAATTGAAAAACTACTGATCAACACCAACAAAGTAACACGTTTAGATTTAAACCTAGGTCTTCTGATTCCACATTGCTTCTCTAGCACCTCTAATATACTTTGTGGGATCTGGGTGAGAAAAATTCTAGCAATCAGGCCAAATAATCATCATAGTTAAAAAAAAATCTTGAAATGTTTGAAAAGATAATCACAACTGTCTTTATACATACACACATACTGTACATATATATTTAGCATACATTAGAGCATGCAAATAAGTAGGACTTTGTTCAGTCAGCATGTAGCAGCCATTCGGTAATGGGAATTTATACAGTTTCCATTGAAGTTTTACTTTAGTGCTGTTATTGTAGTGATCCAGGATTCATGAGAGTCCTACCAAGCTTCAAAACTAAGGATCTGTGACCTACTGTATGTCTGTTGTCCAAGGACCTGCCTACCAAACTTTGGAAAGGTCCATCCCAGCTGCAGTGTGAACCCTTTGGACACAACAACTCTTAAAATATTATGTCTAAATTGTGGTGCGGTTATGATCTGTGATAGCTGAGGGAATATCACAAACTGACAAAATCACAGATCCTTGAATTCTAGTTTTGAGTTTTACTTTGTTAGGGGAATTTGTCATGACCTATATACTTCATTCATCTCCTCATCTGTGTCCCCATGGAGCTTTCTATATGGACCAAAGTTGGAGAAAGCATAATCTGTGTTAAGTATCCAGGTGCTATATCTGCTCTGTGGCATAATTTCTTCCTCACAGTACAACCCCATTTGTAAGAAAGAAGGTGTTTCATGGCTCTAGGGATCTAGATGTGGAAGAGCCATCTTGTTCAATCCTCTCATTTTGCAGAAGACAAAACTGAGATCAAAGGAGGTTGTGACTTCCTCAAAATCATATAGGTAGTAACCAAAAGAGGTGGGATATGAACCTAAAATCCTTTGATTCCAGACTAGAGCTTCTTCCACTGTGTCAAGCTGCATGTTCCCACTTTTCTCTAATTCTCCTGTATGTAATAAAGAGTAGAAGAGATATACGCAGATCATTTTACTCTCATTTGATCTCTTTTTGATCTGAAGGTATTTGACTCCCCTACTACTTTTCATGGAAAATCTTTGAGAAAACTTGCCAACTAAGTGTACTTAGGAGGATCTACAAATTTATGCTTCTGCAGAAAGTGGAGAAAAGGTCTTGACATAACAATTCTGAATCATTGTAAGATCACTTGGTATTGGGTGTGGGAGGGGTAGAATTAGAGGGAAGTGTACAGAAGTATAAAAAAAATTTCTGTCATCAAGGAGCTTGCAATCTTGTTGGGAAAATGGGGCATACATGGGATAATTGAATAATATAGTAAGGCCCTATATGACGAAGTGCTTAAATTAGTGTAGATAGTAATTGCTAAAGGAGATCTGAGGAAGGTGAGATTTTTATTGTAAGAATTTATTGTATTTAATTTATTTATGTCTATTCAGTGATTTTGTATGAAAATGAATTCAGTCTTTCCCTTTTGCCAGTGAAGGGGCAGTAACACAGCACATAGCATTTAAAATCTTATAAGGCAGAGAAAGATACTCCTATATATTGATTTCTTTCAAAGGAATAACATTTTAAAAGATACTAGTGTCAAACATCCCTTAATGTTTATGGGTTTTCAATTGTATTTGAAATAAAATATCTTTGATAAAGGTATCCTTTGGGTATTGTAATGACAAAGTGTCAGGAACATTCTGTGTGTTTTCTTAAACCCATATTCAACTTCCTTCTCAAGCAAATGAAAAATGAAGAATCTGATGCTTACTCTGTCTTTGGTCTAATAGTTATGATATTTACATAATGACACCATTTATGAATATATTCAAGAATCACAATGGATGATTAGGCATACATTAGTTGTGTGATTTACATCTGTGGAGAGAGTTCCCATACAGATTCTTTGGATTATATATAAACAACATCCAGGAAAGATTTTTTTTATGATGAAAGGAGATAATAAAACATCTAGTTTTATTTTTTTTTTTTAGTGGATCCAGAATTGATGTACCTTTCCACATAATGGTGTACCTGATTTGGTATATTTTTCATAAAATTGTGGTAAATTTCTTAAAATTGGGTATGATCTATAAGATTTTCCTACTGCACTGTGCTTTGGTATTATCTAGCTGTAGTTTAAGAATATTGATGCCTTGACATATAGAATGGATAGTTCTCTTTAACTTTCTTATGTGTACTGGCTCCATAGTCATTTTCCATGGTTGTATTTGGACTGATATGTTAATTCTGTGAATATAAATTGCTGCAAAATAACCTCCTAAATGGTTCTTTTCTTAGCAAGTACTTACTGTATTAGGTACCTAGTTTATTCAGCCAATAGTATTTTTCTTTGAATTGAACTTAAAGTAAATTAAGTTGGTTTGGATAAAATGTTACATTGACGGATAGACATAATCCCAAGTGAACAGATAGAAGATCTTGTCTTCTCACTCGTTTTTTTAGAGAAATTGTTTTTCTTTCTCTATATAACCATTTTATATCCCATTTCTTTGGGAACATATCTGATTTTTCCATTGATGATGGTGTTGTCTTCTGTCCCTAATTTAGTATCGTACCATCCATTTATTCTACTGATACCAGCCATCTTACCTTTGAAGCAAATATACCTGTTTTTATAGATTATTGCTTAGTATTTTTGCCTGTAATCATGACCAGTATTGACATGTAGCAGGTCATAAAAGTAAAAACAACAACTACAACAGACTCTTACAAGATATAAGGAGGATTACTGAAAGGCCACACTTTTACAGCGAAAATGAAGCTGAGTTTAGAGGCAGTTATGTATATAATTCAGGTAATACTTTGTCCTACCCACTTTTAATCTTTGTTTATTCTGGCTATTAGTACTGAACGCAAGTAACAAAAATTACATTTCCCCCTTCCATGACAATGTTAATTATGCAAATATATAATACTCTAATACCACTTTTGAATATCAAACCATTTTTTATTGGATGATCTGGTTTCAACTTACCAATTCTGGTAAGTTACTATATTTAAAACAAAGCAAACCTTAATGGACACATAAAATCTCAATCACTTATGATAGTGTTTTGAATCTGATTCCAAATCCTCCTCAATGTGGATGAAATACAACTAAAGCCTTCTATTGCTGTTCTCAACCTGTATCTCTGTCTCTTCATTCTACTAAGATTTCGTTCTATCATCCTTGACTTTTCTAGAAGCATGAAAAATAATCCAGTTATATTTTAGCCTTGAAAATGAAGTTATTCTTTGCTTTTGTCTCTATAAATATTCCGCTTACTCAGGTAGATAAATAAATATAGACCATTTCTCATTAATTGTTTTAATGATTTAGTTCTAAATTCCATCATATCCTGAGTCATTTACTTTAATTTTTTTTCCATATGTAAGACTTTGTTTCTTTTCTAGAGGAAGCTGTCATGGCTGCACGTCGGCTAACATCTGTCATTCTAGTCATCTCAGTGTAGATGCTTTCATTGCCTTCTTTCAGACTATGAGCCCTTATGTTTCTATGTGTTTTGGTGCTTCTTTGGAGGATATATTTACATTATTTCTTTTGTTTTAGAAGTATCGTCTATGTATGTAATTTTTTTGATCAGATACTACATCATAAATTTTTATACTATCATCACAACAACCTGTTTAGCACCATTTTCCTCCTTTTAGTGAATATAATGGCAATTTCATATTTATGAAAGAAAAGAAATTTTCAAAAAATGAAAGTATATCTAACTTACCAGCATATTGCATATAATTTCATGGAGAGGAAATAAAGGTTTGCACTTTTGAATACAATATCATCATTCCTATTAATACAGGTCTGTTGTGGGTTTTTTTGTGATTTTTTTTGTTATATGGCTATGACATGTTGTCAAGGATAATAATTATCAAATCCGCCTTCAGTGGGTAGATATGAATTAATCTTTTCAAATGCATGTTTTATCAGCGCACTCTGGTGATAACCCCTTCTTCCACTTCAGCGGTGAAACCCTGATAAAGCACCCTTGAGCTTTGTCTATAAATTATAAAAATACTTTTGCTTTATTTGTGCTGTCTGTTGTAGTTATTTAAAAGCCCAAATGAAAAATTTCCTGTTGTCACATGGCAAATGGAAATACACTTAACAGTTAGTAGAACATATCTCAGTGGTGATGTAAATTCACACTTATTTGAAACAAATACCCCTTGCCTAGCCTCTTTCATATATACATAGAAGTCTATGTCTCTTTGGAGTTTAAAGTGACAGTTGCTTTGTTGAAGAAAGTCCTACAGTGCTGCTCTGGGTCCATTTTCTCTCCCAAATTTAAAGAAACCAGAAAGTGAAAGTTAAGAATAACAGGTGAAGTTTTGCCTAAGGGGTACATGTACATATCACTCTACTAATTTTGTTTTGTATTTCCCAGTTTACCATTGCTACCTTCTAAGCAATAATGGCAGACTATATCATATAAAGTTTATTAGACCATAGAATTTTGGGGAAGAAAATGATACATTGATAAGAATAGCTTATAAAAGGTTACATATAATGATATCTGCTCATACTATATGTATATATATATATACATATCTGATACGTACATATATATTTAAACATAAATATGTAATGAAGTTATATTCATAGCAATTCCAGTTACAACGTTCATATATCAAGTATGAACTGGGACTTTTAATCTTGTATATTATTAGAAAAAAAGTCTTTTCTTCTTTTTTTGTTGCAGAAATCAAAAATCTCCACTTATGACAAAATGTGGGCCTTTATGAGTAGCAGGAGGCAGTCAGTGCTTGTCAAAAGTAATGAAGAAGGTATCCAGCGTGTACTCACCTCTGATTATGCCTTCCTAATGGAGTCAACAACCATTGAGTTTGTCACACAGCGGAACTGTAACCTGACACAGATTGGAGGCCTTATAGACTCCAAAGGTTATGGCGTTGGCACTCCCATGGGTAGGTTGCATGTCAGCTATTTGTACTTTGTTCATTAATCTTAGTTGCAGCAAGAGGATGGAAAAAATTATGATTCCATATGGCATTAAGGATTTTCTGTTTGACCTCAGCAGTGTGCTTTGCTCTTGGAGTGATTAGAAACAGGGCAACATTTGCATGTTTAAATTTGAATGATTATGTGGAAATGGAGAATGAATCGTTATACAAGTGGTAAATATGCACATAAATATAGTATATTCTTATTGCCTACTTCCTTCTTAACAACCAGCCCATTTTAAAATAATTTTATCTACCATTTACTATGTATAGAGTAAATTTAAGAATATTGAGTTGGGAGACTTATGATCTTGTTCCAGTTCCAGTACAAACTAGCTGAGGTAACTAGGTAATATAGTGAATAGAGCACTAGGCTTGGAGTCAGGAAGACCAGAGTTCAAATCCAGCCTTAGACACCTAGTAGTTTTATGAGCCTGGGCAAGTCACAAAACCTCATTTTGTTTCAATATTAGAACCACCTTCCCAGAGTTGTTGTGAGGATCATATGTAATGATGTTTTTTAAAGTACTTAGTACGGTGCCCAGGACATAGTAAGTATTTAATAAGGTCTACCTTCCTTTATTCCTTTTTCTTTCCTTCCTTCTTATGTGAGCAAATCACTTTATTTCTTTGAAGCTTAGCTTTCTTATCCATAAAAAGAAGAGGTCTAGATGGTCTCCAGGGATATTTCTATCCATAAATTTCTATTGGAAAAAATCCAACACCATAAAATTTAACTTTACTTAGAGTCAAAGTCTTGAAAACTGGTTAAGTAAAGCTAGAGATGGAAGAGGCTAATAATGTTTGTTTTGTTGGAGATTTAGAGCTAGAGCAAGTTTCCTTAAATTATAAAAAGGGAATGATACTTTAAAAAGAAAATGGTCACAGTCTAATCCTGCTTTGCTGAAAGCCGTGGGAAGATCTTGGGGTCTAAATCTTAGTAGATGTGCACCATATACCCAAAGAGAGAAGAAGCAAATGGACTGCCATATCAAGATCAATCAATAAATAGATATATACAGGGTAAATTTGATTTAAATAAGAAATTGCTTATGTTGACCTTTGCTTAGCTGAGAGTAATATGCATTTTATACCTCAAAAATGTGAGTCCATTGCTAGTTCTTCAGATAAAACAAGAGTATACTATAGACATTTCTCATTTTGAGTAAAACCTGTAAGAATGTTACCTGTTTCAGACCTTGAGAGTTTGGAACTACTTGGTTGTTCCTAAATCCTTAAGATTATACATTTCCTAAATCCTTAAGGTCACACACTTCAAAGATTTGTGCAAACACTAGTACCAATACTTATGGCAAGTCTTGGTAAAAAGAAATCAGCAATTCCTGGAACTATCCTCAAATGAAGCACCCCTGTTGCCCCCTTCCCCACTCCAATCCCTTTTAAAAGATATGTTACTATTTGGTGCTAAGGATCTAACTCTGAGTGGTCATATTGTAGTTGGAATACTACAGTATGAGCATGTCCCATATAAACTCCCTTTTTCATACACACACACGCACACACACACACACACACACACACACACACACACACACAGAAAAGGTTTCTGCTTAGACTACTGGAGAATATTTTCCATTGAGATATATTTATGATACTTGTGGTTGGGAAAGTAACACTCTATAAAGCTTAACTTTGCATATATGCATTTTTCAATAGTCACTCTATTCTATAAATTGAAAACTTCCTGTAACCTAATTCTGAAAATATACTTGGGTTGACAGGCAAGATCTTAAAGTAAATTGTAAGGTAAAGGTTTTTGAACCTGGGCAATTCTTGGTACCTATTTAGAGAAAGCAACATCTTGCCGAAAGCAGCGTCTCTCATGATGATAAAGTAATATAGCATGGTCTTGTAAAACAGAACTTGGGAATCCAGACCTAGGTTCAGATACTTACCTTAGGTATTTATTACTTATATAATTATTAGTTATATATATATATATATATAAGACAAATTATGACTTCTGCAAAATGGGTATATTAGTAGTTTCATTTATTATCTTACGCAGTTCATGAAGAAAACACTGCAAACCTGAAGGCATTATATAATTATGAGTTTTATTACAATATTTGACAAGATTTTAGCAACTTCAGATTCATAAACAAACATGAAATAACTTTGAGAAATATACCTTTTGGCTCTTTGCTTCTAGAGAGAATTGTTTATATTTAAGTTTCATGGTTGTATTTTATTTTAACTAATGAACTTGAAAAAGTAGCCTGTTTACTATTGTAAATCTGATCTTGTATGTGAGTGGAGCTCAAAGCCTGCTGGTTGAGCCTCCTGGGACTTTAATAGAAGAGATCAGCATATACTCATATAAATTCAAAAGATCAAAATAAAATCCTGAGGCTTTCACCTGGTATTATTTCTGGATGATTGTTTTCATTTCATTCCTATATACTTTCAGTACCAAAAGCTCTTTGAGCCACGATGTGTATCATAATGACATTTTCTTCTTCATCTTAACAACAAATACATGCCCAGTACATTGATTTTTATTCCAGGAAGGAATATATTTTATGTATCTATTACTTTTCTGTTTTCAACATAAATTTAAAAGGGAATATATTTTGACAGGATAATTTGAATGCAAAGGTATCACTATCTTGGTCATTTGCACAATGAGATGGATTTTGAGATTTTTTTTTTACTCTTCCATTCCAATGTAATTATTTTCCTCAAATTTAAGTTATAAACATAAAGCCAAGACTTTGAATGAATAAATTTTTATACTCAGTCATAACATAGAACACAATTAAAATATTATTTGGAGTAGGCACATTTTGAAAGCAGTTTGTATTCATAAAATTTCATCAAAGAAGTGTGATCTCGAAAAAAGGTATTTCACACTCCACTCCCTTAAATTAAAGACTTCACTGCAGAGAAAAAGGTTTCAGGCAATAATTTATGATCTGCTGTTTCATACTTCTGCTAGAAATATGACTTCATGAATTATTTATATTTGGCTGTGCCATTAATAAGCACAATACCATGCAGTTCTATAGTAGTTGAAGATGAGACACTTGATTCCCCATTCCACCCCCTCCAAAAAAAAAACCCAACAATTTTAGGCAAACAGAATAATCTATACTTGCCAAATATTCTGTCAGCATACTCCACCCAATTATACTCAGTAAATTCAATCATCTGTATCTTTTCTTTTAAAAACTATAGGACAACATATTTAAAACTGGGAAGGAAATTAGATGTTTCTTAATCTGATGTCCTAATTTTAGAGATGTAAAAACTAAGGCTGACAGAGTGATTTGCCCAATGCCATTCAAGTATTAAGTGACAGTGCTAGGGTTTAAAACCAGCTCCACTTGTTTTAAATGCAGTACCATTCCTGCTTTACCACAATGATTTTTCCAAGTATAGGGAAGCAGGGAGGTTTGAAATCCACATCTTTCTTAAATGGTGACATAGTAAAATTATATTAAAATATTTCCCAAATCATCTATCTAAAATTTACCAAATAAAGATTGTAAGTCATGACAGAACATATCCTAGTATCACATCCTCCTCTCCCTCATCAAAGATTAATTTGGTGAAGGTCTGGATGATGGCAAGGTGGGAACAAGTTCCTGGAAGATTGATCCCACAAATGCCACTTCTGAATAGGTTGGAATAAAACTCTCAGACTTTGCCAATGTGGGAAAAGAGAGGAACTCTGCTTTGGTGTAATGTCCATGTTGTGAAGTCTTAGGTTCATAGATCTAGAGCTAGAAGAAATTTTAGAAATTATTGATTATACTCCCCTACCCAATTTTACAAATAAAGAAACTGAGGCCCAGATAGAAATGACTTATCCAAGGTGACACAGATAGGATGTAGAGGAGCTGAGAGTCTAATTCAAATCCTCTGTCTTGAAACTCAGTGTTCTTTCTACTGAAGCACATTGTGTGTCTGTAGGGCTAAGAAGAGAAGGCTTCTTGAAAATATGATGACTGTTTTGGAAAGAAAAATAAAAATATACTGCCATCAAAATCAACAAACTTGTTCACTTTTTATCCTTATCCATTGGCTTATTAGTAAAGTCAAATTGTACTTTAGCTGCCACCGTTTATTTATGTAGTGTAATTTCTCCTGTGTGATTCATTTAGCGTATGTGTCATCACAATTCATCAATGGGAGTGTGTCTCATTGCTGTGGTGCTGGAAAACTGAATGTGTCAGAGGCAAGCTATTTAATTAGGGAGGTTCTGTTTACACCAAAATACCTTAGTGGAGTAATCAGCAACAAACACCATAAAGGTAAATGTTGGGTAAACATCAGCTAGTTTAATTATGTTTGGGCAATATTAAATTCCTTCTAGAGTTTAAAGCCTATAAGGATCTTTTCCCACCTTTTAAAAATAAGACACATTCGCTATGTTGGTAGTTTGTCAAAGACGTATGTGTTCTGACTTGTAATGAGTTAACTGAACTTTGCATTACCTTACATTTGGAAAGAAGGATAGAAAAAATGTCAGGTTGGAGAGGGGAGAATGGCAATTCACAGCAGTTTTCATTAAGGAGTATTTAAAAAGTAGAATCCATTGAAGTGCTTTTTCTTTGCTTCACCATAGGCAATAATCTATTTTATCAGAAAAGAGAACATTGCTACCTAATGATATTTTCTGCAACATTTCTTCCCCTCTTTCTGATTGCCAGTGTTAAAAGCCTATTTATTCTCTCCATCTCCAACGTTGATTATATGTACCACTTTGTGTAGTAGGGCAGGAAGGCCCAGCAGGCCATGTGCTGGCAGGAAAGCCACAGCATGGGAAAATACATCCAGCCTGGTGGCTGCTATTTTGTTCTGGTTTAGTGTAGTTTTACTCTTCTTTCCTTTCATGGGAAAAATTCAAGGAGTAAAATAAGGGCTGAAAAATGAGGTAAATATTACCCATAAAATATTTTTTTCCCCCAACATTCATTTTTTATAAGATTTGGAATTTC